TGGAATATTGGTTAGTTGCGTCAATTTTTAAAAAAACTTGCCATACTAGTGTTCATACTTTTTTTTACACCACGATAAGTTAAATTTGGTTAAAAGTAAAAGTCTTCAAAAAATTTAGGGAATAAAATAAGTTTCATTAATTTTCGTGATAAAACAAGAGTTATTCTGGAGTTTTTAAGAATTGTGGTAGATAGCAGTACTATTCAGGTTGCCTATAAAAAAAAAAGAAAAAAATATTTAAAAAATTGTGGTCATGGTAGTGAAAAATATCATAAACGGTCTCAATTTCTGAAGAATTTCATTTTTTTTATATAACTTAAAATATAATTGGGATATATTTTTTTTTCTTTTTTTAACCGATTAGTCCGGGGCAGGTCTATCCTCCGGTGTTGGCTTATCGTTGAATTTTGGGACACGTTGTATATATAATACACTGACCACATCTGATTATGGCTAGATAAGCCAATTGCAGATCTTAAAAAAGGAAAAGAAAAGGTGTTACAGATAATTCCCTGTGCAGGGCATGTATAGGGAAGGAAGAAACGACGTTCCACGTGTTGCTGACATGTCCGGAGGGCGTTGAATACAGGGCTAAACATCTCGGCAAGCCGGGATCACTCTCCGCATTTGCTCGCAACATCAAAAAACTGTTGGACTTCTTAGGGGATATTTCATAGCTCGAATAATTACATTATTCCTACCCACACGCAAAATACGCGCTTAGACGTGGAGTTGCGGAAAACAGTCCGTCGTTATCTATCTATCTATCTATCTATCTAGAGGTGTTGTTTGTATTTAAGACTGATTTACATCGGAATTATATTATAACAGAATATTTAGCTAACATGGGTTACATAGCGCAAGCTAGTCAACGGAGGCTGATTTAAAAACAGTTTCTTTCCCTGTTCGTGAAATAACACCACAATTTAAACAATCGAAATACATAAATATAAGTTTACATACTAAGAAAGAAAAAAGAAAATGTATTTACTTGCCATAAATAGGCATACACATATTTAGTTAAGGAATCAGCAAAAAGCCTTGGTGGCGACAACATAAAACCATCCCTTAATTGATGATAGAAAGATATCATAGTTTCCGCTAGTTTATACCATCCTATTTACGCTTTTTGTACTACGTGGTATAATAATTGGTGTAATACACAGATCATCGACGGTAGCAGTGTTAAAGGTGCACGAAGGAGTACTGTTGACAATATCCAATATCATTTGATAGTTATCAGCTCAGTTAGACCTAAATCAGCCAGGAAACATAATCACACTTGTAATGTACATAAAAATACTTAAAGACAATTTAGTGTGCACTTCTATTTCATAGTCCTAAAAACATTAAACAGATGTGATTGAAACATAATAGAATATTTTTAAAACAAAAATGGCCAGAAAATAGCACACTGTCTACGGATGAAATGAAATGTATCCCCTATTAAGAATTTAAATGCAGATGCATTGGCACCCCAGATAACTAAAGTGGAATACTTTGTTACCAGTGAAAAAGATTCCCGGTTCACCACAACCACCACAGGTAAGCAAAAAAAAAACGGTCAACTAACTAGCAGCAAAGGCATCAGCGATGTGGTCACTAGTAATTTTTAATATGGGAATATAGTCGGCTCACAAATGGAATGTGAAAAAATTAAACAACCACACTGTGTGTCTTTTGTAAGCCTCCTCCTTTTTTCAAAGAAATATTTACTATAAATGAATTAATCATTTTAAAACTATATGCACGATGTATGGATCAGAATTGAACATTTAGTGTAATGTGCAAATAAAAAGCACAAAATCATCATATCACTTTCTACAGATTTCCTACAACAGAAAAAGAAAAACTTATGACAGTAAGTAAGTCTTTAAACATTTTGAATTTATTGACCGTTATTTGTTGGGATTATTACTATATTAACTCAAACTGTTTCAGATCATGTATTTGGGCTGAATTAAGTTTTCACTATGAGTATTTCGAAGATTTAAATTTATTTACATACATGTTCTGCGAAGAATAACTATCTGACAATAACATATTATATATCAAAACCTACATTCAAAAATTATGTGCAAAAGCAATAAAACTCATAGATGCATGTTTCATTTTTAGATTATTACATTGGAAATAAGCATTCTACTCTCGGTAGAGTAATTGTGTTCTGTGGATTACATTATCCTTATACAAACATTGTTTTTCATGCATTTTTTTATGATTTTGTGATGAAATAGATCACATGGCCTATTAGTAAGAGAAAAACGGTAGTTTCAAAATTATTTGTAAAAACTTTGCACCATAGCATCAGTACGTAACATAAATAACTGAATTAATTGAGGAAGTAACTTCACAAAAACCATTTAATAATTAAAATAACACTAAATGTTTAGGAAGACAGTTCCTTGTAGTATAGCAATGGTCAATATAAGGGTTATTATGAATCAATGAAATCAAAAATCAAGCAAAGTAAGAAATCAAAAAATATAATCACATTACATAAACAAAACCAAGATGGAGACATTTGACAAGAAAGAAGGCAATATGGCTTTTTTTTATATCACTAAATATTGACCTCATTTCAGCACACTATAGAACATTATTTGGAGGTGCAATAGATGTCAATTGATTTCATGCATTTTGGGTAAAATAAATGCCTTGTTCCTTATTTTTAAGACCTATAAATAGCAAAATAGGGTTAATTAGTGAACAATCTCTCATTGGTTTCAAAATCTACATTGCTTATAATTTTCTTCATATACTGAATTCTTTTGCTGCTTTTCAGTTCTTAGAGGTTCGAATATGTTTGTGTTTTAGACAAAAAAAAGCAAATAAAACTTCTAACAAATAGAAATATTTGCTTGCATCATTGCATTTAAGATTTGCTTATCATGTTCGAAGTTGATAAAAATGTATCGTCAATATTCTTTGATAAGAATTTTCCTTTTAAATAGCGAAATAAATACATATCTCTGTATTATACATACATTTATTATATACTTCCTTATACAATATAAAACAACTAGGTAAAAATAGTAATATAAATTTAATACACAACATCCACTTACATTACATGGCTTGTAGGCAAAAAAGACAGAATGGAGCTTGGGCTCTATTTATGTTTAAAAGAAATAGTTGGTCCCTTTTGTTGTTACTATTTCTTTTATTTCTTAAATGCAGTATTTCACAATTTATCAACAATAACTGACAACCAAAAAAGATAAAGGCATACTAAAAGTTGTAAATCAATATTTTATAATTAAACTAATTAAAAAGGTTTTTTGTGCTTTTAAAATACAAATTGTGCTTTATAACTGGTTTTATATTAAGAGATACTATACAATACACCTGGCAACATTTAGAAGTAATTTACCCATTAAGCAACAATCAAACTACAGTAATACCTTTTCAATATGTTTTGTAAAGTATATGTAAATTCAGTTCTTCAGGCATCTCTCTGGCCAATAAATAAGCTCTGTAGGATATCTAGGTCATTATAAATATAACATTTGTAATCTGTACAAGTTGGCTACTTTAAGTATCAACACTAGATTACAAAAAGCACACCTAGTAATACTTACACCCGTATTTATAAAGAAGTAATTACTCGTTGCTAAGTAATTTCTTCATTAAGTCATTACTTAAGGTTAGAATTCTTAATAACAACATCTCATTCTATAGTTCAGTAACACACTTTACTTACTTGAGCAAATGCCCAAGTAACACTCGACGCTTAGTGGTTGCTTCTGTGTGACAACACTTTGTGACTGCGTTTATTTTCATGAAAAAGCAAACGTAAGCTAGATTATTTTTACAAAATCTTGCAATAATATCTTTGAAATTACTTTATTTGATATTTATAATAGCAATAATGTTATATAAATTATTTACATAATGTTATAAAGTTTATAATATCATTATTGTTATTTAATTGTGCCAGTACAAAAAAAAGAATGCTTGGAGAAACAAAACTTTTGACATGTTATATATATTCATACCCTTGTAAATTTAAATGTTCAGTTTTACACATGGATTATATGTGCCGACACGTGATTTTTTACTTATAGAGATTATACATACAACGTGTAACAAAAACCATGTGGTTCCCTTTAAGTGCGTTATCAGAGTCAGAATTCAAACGTAAAGAAATATTATTTTTTTCAAAAAATTTGATCATTTAAAAAATTTTATTTTAATTCAAAAAAATTATTTGCAAATTGTATGTGGTTTTATTACTAAATTACACGAGCATCGGTGAAGGGGGTTCTTTCACAATCCTCTTATTGTCCGGATAATGCAGAGGTAATAAAACCACATACAATTTGCAATTTTTTTTAATTAAAATATTTTTTTTAATGTTAAAGTTTTTTGAAATAAAAGTTATTTCTTTACGTTTGAATACTGATTCTGATAACACACTTAACGGGAACCACAGGGTTTTTGTTACATGTTGTATAATCGTTGCTTCAATGCTATCCAAAGTTTCCATTTCTTATGCAAAATAACCTTAAAGTAGTGCTTAAGTAAAGGAAATGGTGACTATTACTTGGATGAGAATTCTAACTTTTGCCAGTTCTAACTTGGAGCAATTACTTAACTATAGAATACAAATCATTACTCAAGTAATTACTTTTACTTGTATATAAATACGGGTGTTAATGTCTCTAATTCCTAAATATGACTTTGAGTCATTTAATAAAGACAAACAGTTCACCTGAATATTATTCAATAGGATTATATAACATATCTTTTACATATATTAATATTTTTGTAGAGAATTATCAAAATCTATTGTATAAGATATAAATTTTGCAAGAAATATATATTATATATTTTTAATTTAATAAATTATTGTTTAATCTGTAGGTAAATATGGTACAAAATATAATTTTTTTCATTAAGTGTTCAGTCAAGATCAAGTTTAAATACTTTGTGTAATTGAATACATTTGAAATAGGTAGCTGTAGACAATGGTAAGTTTGAATTTTTAAAATGATAAATTATCGCCCAGAAGGAGGAGCTTCGGTAACTGGCGCTGGGGCTGGAGATGTGCTCGATCCGGACGTAGCCCACACAATAATGATAATAAGTAGAACCACACCTATAGCACCAATTATAAGCATCATTTTTAAGTTTTGCCACCAGTATTTTCTTTTAAGCTTACCAGCTTGTTGTTCAAATTGCGCTGCTCCATGTTGAAGAGCATCTGCACGATTATCCAGTTCGGACAGCTTCTGATCTCTTTCCAAAACTTTCTCAACATTGACACGCATAATTCCAACAACTTCATCTACTTTTGCTTGAGTTTGTGCTAGACGTTTATCACTTACTCTCGGCGCCGATGTTCCACTTTGCTCCTCCATTTTATAAATATTATGGATATTTTACACCAAAATCTAAAACGCAAGGAATATATTATTGTACCTAAATGCAATCAAATCGCAACAAATAACAATAAGTGGTTCTTATCACGTACATAAAAAGCAATATGGCGGCCGACCACAGAATTAAAGATCAGTGTTACCAGATGAGACAAATGATATTACAGTGTTTAATGCTAAAATTTACAGTGTTTACGACAAAATTACAGTAAAAGTAAAAAAAATACAGTGAATTTTACAGTACATTTCAAGAAACTTTTATTATCTTTTATAAACTAAAATACTGTTTTAATTTCACCTTTTGTAATTTAGAATAAGCATAATACCTATATATAATTACACGTGGTGTTTACGTGGTAGAGCCACGCTGCAGCTATATTAGTAGTATAGTTGTAGCAAGAATGGGTCGGCTCGACCGGGGAAGGACCACGCTCTCACAGAATACCAGCGTCAAATAGCAGTTTAACACTGCTGTGTTTCGTATAGTGAGTGTAGAGAACCGGAAACCCTTTTTACTGGAAAAGAGGCATTCCATCTTAGTCCTCACGAGTGACGATAACGATAACGATGACGCAAACGAAGATAAATGTAGATGTCCATGGGCCACAGCATACTAATTTAAGTTAGTCCCAATAGGCTTGAAAACAAAATTAAAACATCGTTGACACAATTTGGGTGGTTAATACTAAGAAGTAGTTTTTAGTCTATGATGGGTAATTCCCGCGTAGTATCCACCGCCGCCGCTAGTCATGCCCGTTTAAAGTAAGAGATATTCGTTCTTATTACAATAGAAACAAGGGTTGTGACATATGCAGAGGTGGCGCGGGCTCTAGTAGCCAGTTGCATTTTGTTATGTTCATATTATTTTTTCTTTTCACAAATACTGCGTTCAGTTTACATTAAACTATTTAGATTTTTGCCTGTAGAAAATTACAGTGCTCTCCATACACTGTAATTTTAATATTACAGTAGACAGTAGATCGTGTGAAAATACAGTAAATCTGCTGTAATTACAGTGTATCTGGCAACGCTGTTAAAGATAAAAAAATAATGTTGTTGTATTCGTTAATTAAGGTAGGCAAAAGTTTTTGATCATACAGGTTAGTCTGACGTATATTTTATTTAAAAAATTCTTAACAAGATGCGTCACATTGCTAGATTGTGGTGGGGATTTTGCTTGACCCACCGAATAGTTGATGATGAAAATATTTTAAGGTGCCTAATCAAATAAATTCTAGAGAATTATAACTGCATCAAATCACTTGACAAATCATTTCCATTTATAGCATCTGCATAATTACAACATTAAAACGTTTTCAACAACTTCAAATGTAATCGAAACCACTGTTGAGACGTAATCTATTTACAGACATTTACATGATATTTAATGAAAAATAATCATTCAAATCGATTTACAATTGGCAAAGATATCGCGTGACATTCAACAACAAAAATACACTCGAATAAAGAACCTCCTTCAGTTTTGAATCTAAAAAAAATTACTTACACGACTACTCTCAATTCAATTTTTAGGCATATTGGCATGACTTATTGTTCATTGTACGTGTAGGATCCACTGAGATCCGCCAAATAAGTTATGATACAAATCGCTTTTCTAGTAGGAGAGTCCCTTTTATTTTTAATTATTGATTATTTTTTGTTATAACGGCAACATAAATACACATTCTGTGAAAATTAAAAAAAAGAGGAGGCAGATAATAACAAAAAGGAGCATATTCGTGTAAACTTGGAAGCAACGGAATGACGCTTATGACGTGAGTCGCGAAGTCGAGTATTAAACGTAGTGATTATATTCTCTTTGATCGTGTATATCTGTTACTGTCAATGTAAATTAATAAAAGTAAGAATTTAGAGTAATTTAAGTTCCGTTACAGGTATTAATTAGTGATTTATGAATATTTTTAGAAAATAATTTTAATTATTTCGACGCAGCTCCGGCTGTAAAATTGCATAGGGGCGCTTGAAAAAAGCCCCCTAGACCCACCCCCCCACAGTGACAGACTCTTCAAATTCATGCGACTTGATTCGAAATCCAACCCTATTCCTTTATTTCTGGTGTTCAAGATATATAAAAATTAAAACAACGTGATATTAATCAATATTGCAAACCTAGACAAACTCTTTGTGAATCAGTGTGAAAAGTGAAAGTGAATTTTTAATGAATGAATCGTTGTAACATTTCTAGTTTTTAAAGATAAATATTATACATTGTAACTTCAGGCTCAAGGGCTAGAACCCGCAGCCGTAAAGTCAGTTTAAAATCCAATAAGGGTGGCGCTGCAGTAGCATAGGATAAATTAAAAAAAAGCGCCAAAATTAATTAGAATAAGATGGAGAAATAAACAAGGACCGACCAATCTGCTTGGTTTTGTACTACGTAAATAGTTGAGGTTTTGTATACTGGCATTTTACTAAGTACTCTAGTCATGAAAATTTTTAAATATTTGAATTCAGCTGACTTCACTCCGTTTACAACAGCTAACTTCATATCGTAGTTTTTCAGACGTCAGCGCTATTGTGGTAGGTTTTGGAACCTCTATTTTCAGTATATAGTGGGACACTTTTTCAACTTTCGCACCTTATAAGATGGTTCTCCTTCTAGCCTTCTACTCTACACTCCATAACTCTTTGGGACAGTTAATTAACACAAAGTACATTATATATAGGTCATTATACTTATACATATTACTATACTCGTTGTACTATACTCTTTGCAACTCTTTGTGGGTTTTGGCGGGAAATTAACTGGCGGCGGTTTGCTGCTCCTGTATTATTGTTTAAATAATGGTTTGAAGTGGACTTTGATATGTAAAAGTGGTGCGATTTTGTGTATTAAGTGTTTGCGCATGTGAACTATTAGTGGAAACTGCGAAACAAGTGCTCTAATGGTGATGTGATTCTCAAAATAGGGTGTCTGTCTGCTTAGGCGCCTTGAGATACCATCGTCAACCGTCAACTGTCTGCTGGCTCAAGTTGTCGTCAAAATCTGCACTATGTGACAATAATAATAATAATAATAATAATAATAAATCATTTATTCTGGACCAAACCTTTAGTACATTTTTCACACCCACCAAACTGCGTAACAGTTTGTCGGCGGGATTAGCGCTTGCCTTTATACATTTGGTTCAAATACGTAAGTATACAATTTAATGAAAATAAAGCTAAATAATAAGGTCTAATATACGTAATTTTCAAAAGTTATATTAAAACAACAACAAATCAGTTAATATTTTCACATCTTGCGACAACTTCATTAAGGAAAACAGTTTTTAATTTATTTTTTAGTGTTTGTTTACTTATTCTAGTATTATCTTCTCTCAGCCAATCGATATTATTGAAAAGTATAGGGGTCATATACTTGTTGGTTCTTTTGCCATAGTAATTTTTTACTGGTGGTCGCGCGAGTTTACGCTCTCTAACGCTTCTAGTATTGTACCTATTTTGCACTTGTACTTTAAACTCGTCTTTATAGAACTGTTCTAGAACCAACAGGTACTTGACCTTTTCATGTACAGGAAGCACCTTACAGACAACAAATAGTTTTTCATAATTTTCTTTACAGGCAAGTTTTGTTTGTGGGCTAACAAGGTATTTCATAAAACGAATTTGCAGCGATTTTATACTGTTAAGATAGGTTTTAAATGTACGGCCATACGTATTCAATCCATATGTTAGCAATGACTCAGCGAGAGCAAAATAAAGGACACGCAGCGTTTTTCTACTCAATGGCGCCTTCAGGATAAAAAACTTACTCAACACTGCCCTAAGCTTTGTACACACTGTGTCAACCTGTGTTTTCCAATTCATGTTGCGGTCCACCCACAGACCCAGATACTTAAATTTGCTGACATATTCCAGCTTTTGACAAACACAATTTACATTTTTGACGTGCATACACTCATACGTGTGACCCACGATACCTATATCCACGCTCTTGACATTTTTTGCCACTAAGTTGTGCGGTGAATACAGATGCATCACTTTCGTCTTATTAAGGTTGAGTATGATACCATTATCGTGAGCCCACCGGATAATATTATCGAAGTCAGCTTGTAGCACAGCCCTGATCTCTTGTATATTCTTAGAGGAGTACATAAGGCACATGTCGTCCGCGTACATATACACCCGACATTTCTTCACCACATTAATGACGCTATTGACATGCATAACAAAGCCAACCGGACCATAGACTGAACCAGTCGGAACACCAAGCTGCACCACCACTTCTTTACCAGCAACACCAGAGATGTAGGTCTGTAAGGTTCTGCCACTCAGATAACTCCGGAACCACCTGTTTGTGGGGCCCCTGATTCCACACTCATCCATGGCCTGCAACAGCACCTCATGATCCAAGGTATCGAAGGCTTTTTTATAGTCTATGAACAGCGCCAGGACCTGATGCCCCTGGTCGAGACTACTGTTCATATCTTCTGAAAACTGTGATAGTGCTGTTACGGTGCTACGACCATGCCTAAAACCATGTTGTGCATCCGCTAATATACTATTTTGCTCTAAAAATTCGCTAACCTGGCCGACTATCATCTTCTCAACTATTTTATTAATGACCGATAAGATAGCAATCGGTCTATAGTTAGCATACACTGAGTGCGCTCCTTGCTTGTAGATGGGCCTAATTAAAGCTTTTTTGAGTGGGTTAGGATATTCCCCTTTAGACAAACACAGGTTGACAAAGTGCGATAAGACCGGTGAGATCTCATTCTTGATTATTTTTATGTCTGTGACTCGAATGCAGTCATTGCCTGGCGCTTTATCACAGCTCAACTGATCGATGACTTTGCACACTGCCTCACTGGTAGCTGGCTTAAAGCGAAATGTTACATCACATTCTCTAACATATTTACTTCTGTCTAATAGTTTAATATTACAATTATGTTTAATAGCAATAATTTCGTTAGTAAATGTATCTGCAAATTGACTACATATATTGTACATCGTGTCTTTATTTCCAAAGTATCTTTTAACAATATCATCTATCTTTGCTTTTTTCCTACCTGTCCAGGTATTAATTTTGTCCCAGATTTTTTTTGGGTCTCCATTACACTTCTTGATTTCTTCCTGCCGATACCTATTTTTCGCTTTAAATATTAATTTATTAACCTTATTTCTAAATCGTGTGTATTCTAGTCTTTTTGTATTATTGTTTGGTGTTTCTTTCCAATCCCTAAATAACCTATCCCTACGCATTAACATTTTATTCAAATCTCTGTCTATCCACGGTTGTGTATCCCGTTTTTTAATCTTTGGCATTACAGTCTTACTATTTTTATAAATATCATTGAAAACATTTTCTAAATTACAATACAAATTTAACGGACAATCAATAAGCAACAGTTGAGACCAATCGTAATCAGTGATCTGCTTAGCTACTAGCTTATTATTAATTACATACCGAGTGTCCGAGTCCACACTGTCAGTGTAGTGTTGCGTCACATGTAACGATACCGAGACTCCAACCACGTGATGATCCGACATAAAACACTCAATAACAAACGAATGGCAGTCTCGCAGCTGTCTTGTTCGCACCCAGACATGATCGATACACGACATTTCTCTTACACCCGCGACGATAACCTCTCGCGTCTCCTCCGTAATCGGTATTACGCACTGTAGGCCTAGTGCACACATGCAGTCCTTATATTTTGACACCAGTTGGCTTTCACTCACTCCTAATAAGTTAATGTTGACATCACCTAACATGATAATTTCCTCACTCGTTGGGATGTTCTTAATTATCTGCTCGATTTCATCAACGAATAAAAACCTATTCGTTTTTGGTGGTCTGTAGACTGCAATTATATTTAGAGTTGAGTTGTTAACAGTGAGTTTACCATGAAGTCCTTCAAGTGAACTCGTCAGGGTTTTTTGCGCATTAAAAATAAGACATTCCTTGACATAAATAAGCACACCCCCTCCTCTTGTAGCCTCCCTCGTGTTTGCAAATAGATTGTACCCCTCTATGTGGTATAGTGATAGCTCCATCTCCTTAATGTTAACCTCTGTCAAAACTAGTATTCCTAACTCTTCAGAGCATTTTTTTACAAAAAAATTCAATTCATTAAAGTTTTTTCTTATCGACCGAATATTTAAGTGTAATATGTGTAAATATTTGTTGTTGCTAGATATACTCTGCACCCAGGAGTTCACTGTTTTAAATCTAGTAAATTGACATTCTAATGTAATAATTGCATCGAAACGATCACCTTTTATTTGATGTTAGTTTAGCTCACAGTGTTTACTTCGCACTATGTGTGCGTTAGGCATATAGGTACCAACAACAACATCTAGCCAGTCGCCGTATTTACATTACTTTCTATATATTTTTCAATATCTCGTTCACTCCTTATTGACATTATTTTTTTCTGTTCATCACTTTTTCTTATGAGTATTTTTCCATCTTGTACCCAAATGTACTTATATGTTTTCTTAAGCTGGTTTTTAGTAACCCATAGAAGGTTCCTTTTATACCTAGTGAGATTCTCATTTATATAAATACGGGTGTCGTTATTTGTACCATAAATTTCACCATTTGTCAAGCGTTTTTTGCGAATTTCAATCCACTTATCACGAGCCTCTTTTGTTCTCAGCGTTACAACTACTGGCAGTGGTTTGTCGACGTTTGGTTTTTCACGACCTACCCTCTCTGCGTGCTCAATCTGACTAACATCCATCTGGAGCTTGTTAGCAATTTGGACTATTATTTTCGCCACATCTTCATTTTCTTTCTTTTCCAGTCCAGCCAACTCCACCTTTTTTTCCTTATCTTTCTCTTCCAGCTCGTTCACACGTTCTTCCAGTGCTTTATTGCACTTCACCAAGTATGCATTCATGTTTTCTAGGGATTTTATTTTTGTTTCGGTTGATTTCTGGTACTCCATCAGATTATCATACTTTTCTGATACAAAATCAACCAGATCGGCCAGCTCACTCAGCTTCTTCTCCATTTTGTACACCACTTCCATTTTCCTGTTCATATCAGCCAGGATCACTGCAATATCCGGTCCATCAACACTAGGCGAACTAGGATGCGATCCGGGCAGGGATACACAATCTTCACATTTTTCATTTTTGAAGGTAGCTTTCGTGACGCACTTTTTATGGAAGACCGCTTCACATGAGCCTTTGCATTTACAAGTTTCATCTTTCGCCGTCGACACAGCCTTATTGCATTTCTTACACTTCACCATAATTAATTCTTATGCGATATTGGCAAAACACAATCTTTTAGATATTTATGCACAATTACGTATTTGACTTAGGTGAATCTACGAAAAATACAGCCGTACGCCAAGCGCGCGCGCACACGACTGTGTGACTGACGCATCAACATATTGTGAAACAGTATACTATGAAGGATAATCTTTATATATATATAAATTACGTGTCACGTTGTTTGTCCGCGATGGACTCCTAAAGCACTGAACTAATTTCAATGAAATTTTGCACACTGTGTGCATTTTGGTCCAACTTGAGAGATAGGATAGTTTTCATCCCGATAAATGACCCTAAATTTTTTTATTGCGCATTTAAGGATTTTTAGAGGAAGGGCTCGTCTACCTGGCGAGCTAGTTATTATAATATATTGTAACTTCAGGCTCAGAAGGGCTAGAACCCAGAGCCGTAAAGCCAGTTATTGAGAAGAAGAAGAAGCAACTCTTTGTCTGTGTCTGCTGTCTGTGGTCTGTGTGTAAAAGTAAATGTAAAGATTTTAGCAGCGGCTTTGGTTAGATTTTTCTGCTTTATCAAATATTTTAGACATTTGTGAATCAAATCGTTTTATAAAAGCAAGATGGTAAGTGGTTCATATCAATATTCTTACATTAATTACATAAATTGGCGTAAAATCGATTTAAAGCTTACTTATGTTACGCCGAATTGCTTTCACACGTGTGGTAATTTTTGGCTTTAACATTGAAATTACTTGTAGGTGTCACTTAATCCTATCAGAATATTAAAGAATGAGGCGGAAGAAGAAAAAGCTGAGATTGCTCGAATGTCTAGCTTCATAGGAGCTATCGCAATTGGAGATCTTGTTAAGAGCACTCTTGGTCCTAAAGGCATGGATAAGATCCTTGTGTCTAGCGGCAGAAATGCAGGGCAGGTAAGTTAAATTTATTTACTTTTGAGTAACTCTTAGGCTTACTTATTATTAAATATACAAAATATAACGTTTTTAATTTTATTTAAAATTACTACCGACCCATTCGTGCTGCAACCATAATATAGCTGGAGTGTGGCTCTTCCACATATAATATCTAGAACAATGATTTGTAGGGCATACAAATACTTCTTTCGAAAGACAAGAGAATAAGTGGACTATAATATCACTAGAAAATAGCTAGATACAGCACTAGCAAGCCTTATTATTATGAAGAACAACTATTTTTTTTGCAAAGCTTAAGTGGGGCTTGCTTAAGAATCCAGTGTCACAATTTTGTTGATGATTTTGATCTTAATCAATGTACAATAATGCTTTTTTTATGGAATATGGGTGACGTCTACATCTACATTATTTTGTGAATTAAAATGCAGATGCGTTGTCAGCCATGAGGACTAAGATAGAATACCTCTTTTCCAGTAAAAAGGGCCTCCGATTCTCTACACTCACCATACGAAACACAGCAGCATTAAGCTGCTATTTTACGCTGGTATTCTGTGGGAGTGTGGTCCTTCCCTGGTTGAGCCAACCCATTCTATATACCATTCTATATATTATAGTTGGGTATATATATGTTTATATACCCAACTATACTATTAATATAGCTGCAGCATGGCTCTACCACATAAAAATGCTGTGATGACATTAGCAGTTTTTTAACAAATCTTAGATTGAAAATTATGTTATTTGGCATTGAGGGATAAATTTTTAACTCAATCTTAAACACCTAAATCACTCCAAGAACCTAATAAATTGCTGACTATATCTCTGCTATAGGATAATCTATGGGTTTAGCAGTGGACTTTTGGTAGGCTCTAATGAACGGATAGATGAATGAATTTTGTTTAATATAAGTGTTTCTCAAGTGCCTATACTAGACAAACTAGTAAATTAGAAGGTTATGTCTTTAGTACACCCTATGTAACTGTAAACCTTAGGTATTATGATAAGTAAGCTAAGGAGAAGGAGCTTTAGTTTACTGGTGACCATAGTTCCAGAAAGCCAGTCTGGTAAAAGAAGGTGACACCCGTTCTCCCTCCCACTCCTCCTTCAACTCCTTTTTAATTTCAAGTGTAAATTATAACTTTTTTTTATAGGATAGGGTGACAAAAGAGCACACAGTCCACCTGATGGTAAGTGGTTGCTATGACCCATAGACATCCACATCTATCCTCAATAAAGAATCAAAATGCAGATGTGTTGTCACCCGTGAGGACTAAGATGGAATGCCTCTTTTCCAGTAAAAAGGGTCTCCGGGTCTCTACACTCACTACGAAACACAGCAGTGTTAAGCTGCTATTTTACACTGGTATTCTGAGAGTGTGGTCCTTTCTTGTTGAGCCGACCCATTCATGCTACAACTGTACTACTATTATAGCTACAGCATGGCTCTACCACGTAAAAAGTAACTCTAAAGTATCACTGAATATATGAACTTTCGAAAATGCTACCTTTTCTAAAAGCTAAGTTTGCATGAAAGGAGTGCAGGGTAAGGGTCATCACCCCAAACAACCCCTTAAGGTGCAACTCATAATAAAATATGCTTGTGTTGTTGGTATTTTGTTAAATTATTTTAATTTTCAGGTTGAAGTCACAAATGATGGTGCTACTATATTGAAGTCGATTGGTATTGACAACCCTGCGGCTAAAATCTTAGTTGATATGGCCAAAGTACAAGATGATGAAGTAGGAGATGGCACAACATCAGTCACAGTGTTAGGTATAATTTATTTATGAATTCCTCCAGATATTTTTATTTGTTGTTACTTTGTATTCTTTCTGTAGCCATACCCTTTGCTGAACATAAGCCTCCTCATAGATTGCCTTAGGATATTCGTAATAGTTGCCACACTTGGCAGGCGGGTTGGCAACTGCAGTTTTTTATTATTTAGTTGTTATTAGAAAGTTGCTGCTGCCCATCTCTTGGTTTGTTTAACTCTGTCACCTTTTACAGTACCCACGGGACTGGGCAGTGGATATTCTTACACCACCATTCATGTTTGGTCTGGTCACATTCACATTCTGTAGCATAAAATGATAGAAATATTATATTGCCGATTACCAAGTAATTCAAAGTTTTTCTTTTAGCTGCTGAATTACTAAGAGAAGCTGAGAAATTAATTGAACAGAAACTTCATCCTCAAACAATTATTGCTGGTTGGCGCATCGCTGTAGAAGCTGCAAGGCAAGCCTTGTCAGAAGCAAGCTTTGATCATGAGAAGAGCTTAAATGAAGCATCCTTACGTGCAGATCTAGAAAACATTGCTCGCACAACATTAAGCTCTAAAATACTTTCAAACCATAAAGAGTAAGTACAATGAATTGTTCTTAGGTTTTCATAATAATATTGTGTATCTATTTTGAATAAGAAATGGTAGCCATAATTTTTTATTAAACTTATTGTAAAAAATTACATTAATTGTAATGCTATAGAATTTTAGTCTATTGCATTACAATTTATGTAATTTTTTACAACAATATATGTAATATGCATCAAAGATCAGCAGTAAATGATCATACAAATTTATTTTTTATCTATTTTACACATGATAGAGCCATGATGCACTACGGTTGTAGTAAAATAGGGACTGTTCGAGTGGGGAAGGAACACACAGAATACCAGCAGTAGCTTAATGCTAAAGGTGATGTAATGGTGAGTGTAGAGAACTGGAGACCCTTTTTACTAGAGACATTTTATTCAGGGGTGACAAAGCATCAGTTTTTTTATTCTTAATTGCGGTTAGATGTGATGTCTATGAGCCACAGCATCCACTTACCATCAGCTGGACTGTGTGCTCAGATGAAACCCTCTATCTATATAAAAAAATATAATATATGTACCTATAAACTTAACAAAATTGACGTTGATTTTATTATACAAATTTAAAATCAACATTTGGAACTTCAGGCATTTTACAAAATTAGCCGTTGATGCAGTACTTCGTCTTAAAGGATCTGGGAATCTAAAAGCCATTCAGATTATGAAGATTGGAGGTGGTCTACTGGAAGAATCTTTTCTTGACGAAGGTTTCCTTTTGAATAAAAAGGTACTTAATGTTGTATAATTTACTATTTTTCTAAAATTTTGTCATCCCAATTCAATTTCAATATGAAAAGTAACCTCGAAGAACTTTAAATAAATTATCAAGGTATTATTTTCAAGGTTGGAGTACATCAACCAAAGAGGATTGAAAATGCAAATATTTTGATAGCCAACACTCCTATGGACACGGATAAAATTAAAATTTTTGGATCCACAATTAAGGTAGACTCAATGGCCAAAATTGCAGAGTTGGAAGTTGCTGAAAAAGAAAAGATGAAGGATAAAGTAAATAAAATTTTAGCACACAAATGTAATGTATTTATTAACAGGTGTGTATAATTTTAAATTATTATAAAAAATAAGAACCATTTTTAAAATATGTAGTTGTAGCACTACTAAGCTAAGCTAGTGCAAAAAGTAAAATAGAGGCTTAAAGTAATGCTACAGCTTACATATGTTCCACTGCTGGGCACAAGCCTTATGTCATTTCTGAGAGGGTAATGAGGAACAGGCCCCATGTCATTTCTGAGAGGGGTACTCCAGATGAATGCACAAATAAGTTGGTGACGGTGTACTGACTTACGGATTATTTGCAGATAACTAAGATTTTATAAAGATTCTTACATAATATATGTCAATAAAAATTGTTCTACTGAAAATTAATGTGCAATTTATTTATTTTTTTAATATAGAAATCATTACAATTCATTCATTCTTTACAGCATGTAAAAAGTCCACTGCTATACATATGCCTTCCCAATAGATGGCCACATAGGGGAGATGTTTGCCATAGTTGCCACATTTCACATAGGGATTGTCAACAGCAGTTTTTTTATTAATTCCTATATAACAAAAAATATATTTTAATAATCCCTATTTTTCAGGCAACTTATTTACAATTACCCAGAACAGCTATTTGCTGATGCTGGTGTGATGGCTATTGAGCATGCTGATTTTGATGGCATAGAGCGCCTTGCCCTTGTGACTGGTGGTGAGATTGTATCCACATTTGATACACCTGAAAAGGTTAAACTGGGCCATTGCAAACTTATTGAGCAGGTAAGGATGACCATATGATAATAATCATTACTTTCGGTATTTTAAAAAGAAGTTTTTATCTTTACATAGTTTAAGTGGTTACCCCTTTTCTTCCAAATGCCAAACTCTCCAAATAGTTACTGCTTGTACACTAGGCTCTGGCCATCGGATAATGGCAATGAATCCATTCCGAAATGTTATACACACACCTCATGGATATGTTGTGGTACTCCACAACATATTCATGAGTATTACAGTAGAGAGAGTATTTCAAAGAGCTTTGTGCCCATACAATACCATCTGATTTTTTGTTTGTGACCACCTGATTAACCAGCAAGGTATTCATTACTGCAGCTTGAAAACATTTTATTCTATGTGTTTATAGATGCAATGTTTTATTATATAAAGAAGAGGAAAATATAAAAATGTTGTATATTTGAACATCATCATTATTATTACAATCTTTCCATAAGTCTACTGCTGAACATGGCCTTCTCATGAATTGCCATAAGATACGTTTCTGAACCACCTGAATGCATTGTCTTTCTGTATGTCTCCTCATCGTTTGCCAGTTCTTTAAGATATAAAGTTGGCGTATTGCTAGTTAGCTTGCTGATCCGTTGGGCTTTGTTGGTTGCCCTGGATCTACTGTGGATATATTCATTATGAATTCGATCATTCTGAGAAACTAGAAGAAAGTCCACGGATGCAGGGGGCTCCGTACCGTGCTTTGTGGCATTCCTTAGGAGATGCTTACATTCATTAGTAGGTGTGTAGGTCTGTAGAATATGGGCTTGTGAAGGAGTTTAATGTTGACGATGATGATGTTGATTTTTTTTTTAATCTCATACATAGGATTCCAAAAAGAACTGTTATCACATTGGAAAATTATCTGCAGAAAGTAGAAGCATTCCCGTAATGTAGTTTAGAGCTTTTAATCTTATTCTATTTATACTTATCTTTCAGATTTTGGTTGGTGATGAGAGTCTGATTCGGTTTTCTGGTGTTGAACTAGGATCTGCCTGTACAATAGTGATTCGTGGCGCCACACAACAAGTAATTGATGAAGCAGAACGATCACTTCATGATGCTTTATGTGTACTTGCTGCAACTATAAAGGAGCCAAAAGTCGTTTATGGTGGTGGTAAGTTACTAGTTTGTATTTATGGTTATGGATAGCAATTTCCTTTTCTTGATATGAAAAAGGCATTCAATTGCGTATCCATACATTCTTAATGTGGTGGAGCCATGCTGCAGCTATATTAGTAGTATAGTTGTAGCACAAATGGGTAGGCTCAACTGGGGAAGGACCACGCTCTCACAGAATACCAGCGTAAAATGGCAGCTTGACACTACTGTGTTTTGTATGGTGAGTGTAGAGAACCGGAGACCCATTTTACTGGAAAAAAGGCATTCCATCTTAGTCCCAACGGGTGCCGTCGCATCTGCATTGTGATTCTTTATTGAGGATAAATGTGTACTGTGTGTTCGTTTGTCACCCGATCCTATAAAAAAAAATACAGACTATCCAGTGGAGCCTTTGCAAAAAGAACACACCAGAAAAGTACTGCACTCTGTGATAAAGACTCAGTGGGGCTAACAAAATCGACAGTGGTTACTAAAGGGGTATACCAAGGTGCTCAGCCCTATTTACTTGGTAATGGATGCCCTTACCAAATAAGCACAAACCTGGGCTTCCTGTATATTCATTCCGTGAGGAACTTGTAAAAGCCCTTAAAAACTGGAAACAACAGTTAAGCATAGGTGGCTTAGTGTTGTTTTGCAAAGACCTCAATACATAGTGTGGAATGAAATGAAAACATCCAATGGCTCAGTCTCCATCAAGGCCCAGCAAGTTGCCATGTACTACAAGTATAAATATCTTGGTGCCATATTACACATGAGGGAGTGGTCGCAAACATTCAGTATTGTATTGCAGCTGCCTGGTTAAAATGGCAGGAGGCAACTGGTGTAACTTGTCACTCAAAAGTACCCATTAAATTCAATTAAGTATATATCAAATAATATATTTATAAAGACAATACTACTGGCTTGACGCTGGTAGAATTCTATCAAGAGAAGCCATAACTTCAAAGAAGAAAAAGAAGAAGTAGACAATAATAATTTTTAAATATGAATCTGAATAGTGGACCGTAACACAAACATGTCTATGCTATGCAAGTGGCTGGTGGATGTGCAGAGTGATAAGGAGTTGATAAGGCGAAAGTCTTGGTGCGTGCGACATCACCGGCTAGCTCCAGAAAAGCAGGCTGCATTGGTATAAACACTTAAAGTGCCAGCCTCTAAACGACATTGGAAACAAAAACAACCTCAAAAATGGAGATCGAAATTCGGATGGATAGATGTGGTCAACATAGTTTTATAAAAAAAGTGCATTGGATGGTGCTAAGTGGACCTCACCACCATGTTGGAATAATAACTGCGCAGGAGAAAGGGAAAGCTCACTGTTAGCAATTATTAGCATTACTTTAAAATAACGCAAATTGATGTTGATCATGGTGATGTGAAATTTGATTATTTTGTTGTATTGCTTTCGTTTTTTAATTCTCAACACTAAATTGACTACTTCAATATCAAACAGGAAAATTGGTTTGCTACATTTACTATAATATATTGATAATATAACAAATATTGAAAAAAAGCCCCACAAGTTTTCTTGCTGGTTCTTTCCAGGAAAGAGGTGTTTTCTGAACCAGTGGTAAAAGCATAATTCCTATATTCTAATGTTATTTGTAGTTTTCCATTAAGTCTAATATATTTAATTTTCTGATGAAAAAAGCTGGTAATCAGGGAATAATAAATGTTTTCTTGCTCTCCTGTAATTTTTTGAAAAATTGAGGTTCGCCCCTTTGTGGCGTCAATTGTTTTCAATGAGTATTTTTGTAATCTATATTGAATTAAATTTATTCTATTTTTTTTTTCTATTTTATTATAGTGAGATTTTGTAGTGACGTTCTTCTATAATTATTTATTATATTTATAGGAACATTAAAATATTCAATGAAACTAGTTTTTTCAGGATTTAATAGTGTATAAATCTTAAAAATTTGCATTTGTGTATATGTTTGGGTTGACTTTAATTTTATTTATTATAAGATCCCAAGCAGATGGCAGATAATAGCCACCTATACAAATAAATAAAATTGTGTGTGTTTGTAATGTTAAAATTACGCCTTTTTACTAAATGCATATGAAAGTATATACGATACCTATAACAAAAACACAATTATTAAAATTTTTGTGTCTGTCTGTCGGTCTGTCTGTCTGTTAGTTCCGGCTAATCTCTGAAACTGCTGGACCGATTTTGTCGGGACTTTCACTGGCAGATAGCCGATGTCATAAAGAGTAACTTAGGATACTTTTATTTTAGAAAAATAATTAGGGTTCTGCAGGAAAAAAACAAAAACCCCAAATAACACGCGGGCGAAGTCGCGAGGAACAGCTAGTCTTCTGATATATTAAAATGTAATATTGAAATATTCTAATATTCTATTTTATTGTTTAACTAATAATATCTTACCATATTAATATCCATCTGTAAAAAGCAGACAGTTTGCATGTCTCACGCCAATGATGGCCATTTTATTTACATATACTTGTTGTAAATACAAAACTAAATACATATACTGTCCATACAGATAAAAATTCGAATTAGAAATGGCGGCCTGTCGAGCCCGTACCATCATCAGGTACCAAGAGCGTAAACTCGCTAATAACCGTATATCGTTATAGCGTTATAATATTCGGTTAGTTGGAAATTTTCTATGAATGAGAAGATATTTGAAAATAATTGTATACAATTAAATGTAGTAAGTAGGTACATTAAGCGACCCGCTCTGGCTTTGTCTGTGTGGGATTTATTAATGTGCAGTTATGTAGACTTAATTAAAACATTAAAGACCATTTATTTGATCTTATCAATGTTTCTATTTCAATAAAATCTAAATTTTTCGGATATAATTTAATCTTGATCACTCCTGGTTTCGTGAAGTTTTATTTCGATCGGCTCAGCCATTACCTTGCACAGCGAAAATTTAAAAACTGGTTACTCATGTCTCACTGGCATGTAAGTATTTTACACAAAAATATTAACAAACAATATCAACAATAATTATGAAGAAAACTCAGAATGCTTCCTGGCTCACCTCACAAGTAGTAGGTAGTTGTTTTTCTGCCGACTTCCAAAAAGGAGACAGTACTCAATTCGATTGTATGTTTTTTTTTATGTGTGTAACCTCATAACTTTTTACTGGGTGAACCGATTTCGATGATTCTTTTTTATTTGAAAGCTGGTACTTCTCGTGTGGTCCCATATGAATTTGATCAAGGTCAGACCAATAGTTTTTGAGTTATTCTTAATAACTTATACTGAAGTCGGCTGTACAAAATTTTTAATTTAAATTATTATGATTGTTGAGTTTACGTTTTTGTGTTGTTAGTTGCTAAATTACAAAAAGGGTTATTATAATATCAAAGAATACATATATGATAATAACCCCTGGGAATGAGGTGATCGCCACCATGCTGGTTCTATTAAAATTTGTTTAAAAATTGTGCAAACAAAATTATTGTAAAGTTAAAAATGTTTAAAAAAAAGTCCCGCTGGGTTTCTTACTGGTTCTTCCCAGGACAGAGGTATTTTCCGAACCAGTGGTAAATAAAAATATGACTTTCAATAAGTATTATGTAATTATATTGAATAAAAATTATTCTATTCTATTCTATTACTACTTTTTTTTGGAAATCTGAGGTTTTCAAAGGCTGTATTGTTTTATTTCCCAAAGTAAGGTTTTTTTGTAAATCACATTACATTTAATATAATATGTATGTTGTGAGATATTATTTTCTAAATATTAATGGTGTTTAATTTATCTGCAGGTGCAAGTGAAATGTTAATGGCCGAAGCAGTTTCCCGCGCAGCGTCACGTACTGCCGGTAAAGAAGCAATTGCTGCAGAAGCCTTTGCAGTTGCTCTACGTCGTTTGCCTTCAGCTGTAGCAGACAACGCTGGTTACGATAGTGCTGACCTCATCGCCAGATTAAGGGCCCATCATGCTCAAGGAGAGATTACTATGGGACTTGGTTAGTATTATTTAAAACATTGTACGTATACGCAAACTATTATATTATAGCTCAGGAATTAAACTCTTTAAATATGTGAAATAAATAAGAATCACAATAAAATCTGTGCAAATAACAAATTATTCCTTTTTCCATATCATCCCGTGGGTGTCGTAAGAGGCGACAGAGGGAAACAAATCAGGAGATGGACAGCTGCATCTTCCTAATTACGACTAAAAATAAAACACTATGCTTACCTTTCCTCTTGTCAAGCGTGGCAACTATAGCCTGTCTATGAGGTAATATATGGGGGGAGGCATATCTTCCACAGTGGACTTTAATAGGGGCTGTAACGGCAACGCGGTGTTTGTCTTTGTGAACTGTCCACATGTCTTTAACATTGCATTATAGATTATCTTTCATCTAATCAAATACTTTATTTATTATTGACAACTTTACTCCCCTTGTATCATTTTTTTAACATATATTTTATATTATATAGAAATATATTTCATAAGTTCTAATATTCTATAAGTATGGAATTGATATTACTTTTATCAAAAAGTAAATATTGTTTAAATGTAGCCGAAAATTATAAGGAAGTTAAGGTAGTGCAACGACGCGGAATTAATGGCAAACCGCGATTTGGAAGTTATATAGTTGTTTTATTTAATTTAGAAACACAACAAAATGTGCTACGGTATAAAATGAATATCAATTTAAAGAAAAATAATAATTAATAAAAAAAATTCTTTGTATTTTTGCTCACCCTACACAATGCACATGAAGTTTATGTTTGCGATATGAAATTTGACAATTGACAGAACTATTTCTATTGTTTTCGTATGGCAAATGTTATATTGGATGGATTAGGATGAGATGAAGCTTAATGAAGGTCTACATAGGTTACAGCAGCCACTTACATTAGGTAGAGGTTGTTAGCTTGTTTGTTATTCTAGCGTAAAAATACATCATATTATTCATCTTAATATTTTTGGTGGCGATATTGCCTATAGTCTGGCCATAGATAATTGCCTTTTAAAGCTCATAAAGTCGTCAATTGTATTTTCGAGATTTAGCGCAATTAATACTTTGAAAGCCCTATTGATATTCGCAGTATTGCCAGGCTATCGATAGAATATCGATATTCTTTCAACAGTCGCCGTTCGAGTAGCATCATTAGTAACATTGCATCTGTTACTGTAAGTGACAATCCGCCTGCCTACTAATTATAGGAATTACGACAGACTCTTATTAGAGGGGGGGCCTAGGCCCAGTATGGATTTATTAGCAAGATGAAGTTTTGACTTGAATTAAATAAAGCTATGTTTTCGGCAGAGATGGAGAAAGGATCGGTAGGCGACATGAGGAAGTTGGGCATAACAGAATCATATGTGGTCAAACGTCAAGTGTTGCTGTCAGCCGCCGAAGCAGCAGAAATGATATTACGTGTAGACAATATTCTGAAGGCGGCACCTCGTCGCCGTGGTCCAGATCGTCGGCCGTGCTAAATGGCCGTGGACATTATCTATATAATCAGAAGTGTAACAAAAATATCACCAATAAACATCCAATTTATCATCAATAAATAATCTTGATAGTATTATGTCATAATTAATTGCACTTCCGATTGTAACTTTATAATATATGCTTTTACAAGTTTTCACAAATAGTTGTTATTTTATTTCGTTTATGCAGAGTGCAAAGGAACAAATAACTTGCATTTAACAGTTTCATTCATTAGCGAGAATAATTATTTAAACTTAAGTTTTATTAATTAATTTTGGTTTCATGTATTTCTATTATTTAACTAGTGTTGCTAGTGAATTATCATTAATAACCTTAAGTTTGCTTGGCCGCAAGTGAAATGTAATAACATTTAGTTTAATAAATGTATAACTCACATAAATTAGTTTTTATTTATCTTAGTTTACACAAAATGACAATAACATATAATGTCACCTATGCAAGGTACGATTATTCTGGTACCATATTGTACTATTATTCATTTGGACCGCAGCGTGCACTGATCAGTGTTGTATATATGTAGACATGTCTATAACATACGGATTGGATCGAGAGTAAACGTTTTACTCTGGCGAAGCGTCGTATCTGTAGTAACGTGGCCACCGTTGTTGTTTATAGGATTTTTGAAAAAAAAACATCGGGAAGCGTACCATATATTTGCGACGAATTTTTAACGATCTGCTTATTATATTTTATTGTATTTTACGTTGTAACGCACGCATATTTGCGCCATCCATCATGAGTGCATCTTAGGACGATCCTCGTTCGCCTATATCAGAAGGGGGATAAAGGTCCTGTTATCGCCCATGTATAGTATTCAAATAGTGTGATGAATGGACGCTCGTTCTTGAATGGAAGTATGCTGTCGGCGTGGGCCGCCGCGGGCGTGTGATGAAAGTAAATTTGTTGCTTAAATATTGCTTTGAAAAAATGTTTTGTAGTAATAATAAGTGGTTAACTTTATAATTGGTTGAGAGAAATGCCGGAAAGCCACGCTTATTTTAATTGACTAACATTTTTTTATAGGATAAGGGTAACAAACGAGCACACAGATCACCTGATGGTAAGTGGTTGCTGTGGCCCATAGACATCTACGTCTCTCCTCGATTACGAATCAAAATGCAGATGCGTTGTCACCCGTGAGGACTAAGATGAAATGCCTCGTTTCCAGTAAAAAGGGTCCCCGGTTCTCTACACTCACCATACGAAACACAGCAGCGGTAAGCTGCCATTTTACGCTGGTATTCTGTGAGAGCGTGGTCCTTCCCCGGTCGAGCCGACCCATTCGTGCTACAACTATACTACTAATATAGCTGCAGCATGTCTCTACCACGTATATCATGTCATAATATGAGTCTATTTGGGTGATTAATAACCCTGTTAAATTGTAGAACTGCTTACTTCATTTTGTGTTTTGACTATGTCAACAGCCATACCGTAGCCGTAGCTCAAAGAGAGTGTGGTGCGCGTGTGGTGAGGTAGAAGTCTAGTTTAGTCGTCATTGTAACAGAGATGACTGAACATGGAGATGAGTTCTCGTAAAAATAAAATGAAGTGTATTTAAATAAAACTAATTTTACGGATTTTATCGCGTATATTAACTTATTTTACATTCCCGACGTTTCAAGCACTTTACAGCACCCATGGTCATGGGGGGGGACTGAGGTGTATGACGTCCCAATGTCATAGTTAACCACGGCTACCTCTAGATTAAAAATTATTAATTTTTGTTCCGATCTGCGCAGTATGAACTTACAGTATCATGAAGTCTTGCAGTTGTATGCTTGGGTTGGGATTGAATTTTATTAATTATGGGCTCCCAAGCAGATGGTAGCACCCAGTCATCTTCTCTATTGAAATTAGGATGTTTTTTGATTTCAATAGCCTCGCGAATCATCCTTGGAAGGAATCGGTGTTCTTTAGCGAGGATTTGTGGTCTATCAAATCTAATGTAGTGACAGGGGCGATCCTGTACATGTTCACAGACTGCAGACTTCCCGGAGCGTCTATTCTTCACATCAGCTATGTTTTCTTTAACGCGGGTTTTTATGGATCTTTCAGTTTGTCCTATATAAGAGAGACCACATTCACAATCCAGCTTGTACACTCCTGCATCTTGCAGAGGAATATTACACTTGACTGATGGTAAAAACTGACTAATCTTCTTCGGCGGCTTGAAATATGTTTTAATGGAAGCACGCTTCAAGATGTAGCCAATCTTGTCAGTGACACCTCTGACATATGGCAGTACAGCAGGCACTCGCTCGACTGTGGCCGGCTTCACTCGTTCACTGTGACGTAGGCGCGGGACCCGAAGCTTATTGTCGTGCAAAACTTGCTTGACGTGTTGGAGCTCGGCGGCCAGGTGTTTACTGTCACAGATCCCTCGTGCTCTCTGAAACAAAGATTTACCCACGGTAGCTAACTGTGAATGATGGTGATGAGAATCACCGTTTAAATATCTAACTGTATGGGTCCTTTTTCTATACACAGTGTGGCTCAAGGTGTTATGAGGATTCCGAATTACTAACACATCTAGAAAAGCTAAAGAATTGTTTGCCTCTAACTCCATTGTGAACTGAATTTTAGAATTTAAGGAGTTAAGATCGGCACTTTGATAGTGCGCGGCGTCTTGTTGTCGGCGTCATCAAAGGTCGAATACTGAACTGTCAAATAAATTTTGCAGCTATTTGGAAGTACAAGGTCAAGATACACGCGCCGGCGGCTTCTATGATATCGCATTCAATCGTCGCCGCCGCGCCGCATGCACTACATTTGACACTGTTTGAATGCCGCCACAGAGTACATGTTCCAAAAAATAAAATAAGTTACCGGGTGCTCAGAATGGACACGAATACATTATGCTGATCTCGCAAGGAATATTGTAATTAGATAATGGTAAGGATAGGTAGATACCATAATAATTTATTCTAGTAAGTATTTATTATAATATTAACTATATGGGTTTATAATAATTACTTACTAGTATTATTATTACCTAATAGATAAACATGTTCAATAAGTTCACTGCAAATCTCGATTTTTGGAAGTGTGTGTTTTTGAACACAGTGTTCGAATATGTCGTCACCCATTTGATAAATATTGTAGACACTTTTAACACACTTGAAACGTGTAAACATTTTGTACAATGCTAATGGAATAATATAAAAAGTGTGCATATTAAATAAAAAGCGTAAAATAAGATCTATGTACTTTTTAGGAGCCCGAGTATCTCTTAGAGAACCGTTTAAAGAAATTGATTGCATCGAATTGATGTAAATAATAGTGATTTGCACAATTTTAATAGTAGAAATAAAAATAAAATCACAATACCTGCTTTCCGGTTACATAAAGGATATAATACGTTCTTGGGTAGCGATATACGCTTTTATAATAAGATTCCAAAAGAAATGTTAGATCTTTCACCTTTTCAATTTAAGTCAGACAAAAATGCTTGGAACTGACCTCTCGTACTACACAAGACTAACTAGAAATTTCTAAACCGATTTGGTATCTACATATACATTTGACATTTTATGTTTGACTTATCGCTTTACATAATTATAGTACTATTGTGAAAATATTTTGAAAAGAGCAACTACTGAGTTTCTTACTTTCTTCCATGATTCTTCTCAGTAGAATCAGAACTTCTGGACATGGAAAAGAAAAAATTGGGGAAAACAGTGATTGACTATTCAAAAGTGTATTTTTAATGCCTATGTGGCGGCGCTGTCGTCGCGCCACAAGCGAAAACACGTCGAAGTCTAAATCGCGCTAATAAAGTTCCGAAATTAAAGCAGCATATATAGAATAGCTCCGAACTACCAATCGGAGCGTTAGCCGCTCCCCGGGCAGAACACCTTGCCCGGCGGGAGATCTCCCCTTTTCCTTCCACCACACTTACTTGAATAAAACATGTTTGAATTTCCAACGAGTGAAGGCAAATTTAATGTAATTAACGTAGATTAATTCAATCACAAGAGGAACATAATATACACAATTTTATTTACATATTTACATTTCATTTTTACATAGGCACACTATACCTATCTGGCAACGCATCTACTTTATTAATCTTCTGAAGAATCGTTATTTTTATCAAAGAATGCCGAACTTTCCTTTGTCGGTCTTTCGGCGTGTACTTACAAATAGTAGTATTTATTTTAATTCCAGTCATTCCCAATTGAGCTTTGCTTCGAGTCTAATGTATTAATTGTTTTTACTCTAATCCTTGTTGTTCTCGGAGTGATAAGTTTACAATTTGACATGAGTGACGAAGAGTCGAATAGTTCTAGTCGGAGTAGTGTGAGTTGGAGTTATAGATCTAAAAGACCTAAAAGCAAATTTGATGAGTTTTTCGACATAATTCATGCATCCCAAATTGCTTTGTGTAAATTATGCCGACATAAAAAGGTTGAAATAAAAATGAAAAACAGAAACACTACAGGCTTAAGGAAGCATCTAATATCTTTCCACAAAAAGGAATCACAAATATTTCTTCCTGAAAAACCAAAATTAAGTGGAGATATCACAAGCTTTTTAAAAGTGGACAGGTAAGAAAAAATATACTTATCACACAATTACATAACACATATATTATGTAACTAGCGGCCGCCCGCGACTTCGTCCGCGTACAATATCTGATTTCCTATGAGATTTTGAAATTTTCCCGCTGCAAAAGTCTTACCTAAGTATAAAGAGGCTATATAGTTATAGGTAAAGCTTAACTATGCAAGTATTTATTATTTAAAACTAATAAAGTAAATGTCGATCTTTATATCTATACTTTAAAAATATAGGACTTGCATGTAACCATTTTACCCCAATTTCACCCCCTTAGGGTTAGGATTTCGTAAAACAGCTTATTCAGGATTTTATTATTGAAAACTTATAACTTTAATGCCGATTTTCTTGTCTCTAACTTCAAAAACGTAAGACTTTCATACAAACTTCCAACTCCCATTTCACTCCCTTAGGGATAGAT